CAGACAGAACACGGATCTAGGTTTAAAGGGCCAGCAGGCAGTGCTCGTGTGTTTTAGTCTTTGCAAATATACTTTCGACAGAGCGCTTGTATTCACTGCTGGCAATCGTACCATATTTACGGAATCGTATCACGTTTTCTACGAGATCGCCGACGAACCGGTCGATGAGGACCCCTCCTGGCGCTGGCATTACTACAGGACAATGGAAATCGCGTGGAAATTAGGCCAGCGTCAATACAATCACACCAAGAGGGTGCTCGTGTCTCCGTGGTCTTAGCCTTTGCCGTCGGTGTTTGTCAATCGGCGTGCGTTACACATCGAGGACAGGCTCGGCATCCAGTTCTACACGTGGACCAAACGTTGTGCCCAACACTTTGGCGCTCCATTGGCCAAAACCAAGTTTGTCGAGTTTTTAACCAACCCGTCACCCCTACTGGCCAACCGGTGCGAAGTTATTGACAAGTTATTTTTCACACAAAACACAAATTATTTATTCAAACAAAAGCTATGTTTAAAAAGTATCTGTAAATACTGTATAGTGAATAAAAATAGTTATTATAAGTCAAACATTTTATTTATTTTCTATAAAAATAATATTAAACTAATTGTTAAAACTTGTTTGAAATATTAATTTAATTGATGTTAAAAACGTAATGTAAATATTATTAGTAGTAGTACTAATAGCAACTAAATTATTATTTGATATATTATTTTAATAACTTTATTACAATATTGTTTTTGTTATGGTAATTGCAAACACTGTAAATAACATTTACCATAGTGGAAGACAGAACATAGCATAGTCACCGATTGGGATACCCATATACTGTATATAAAGCATATCGATCTATATGAAACACTAATTTGATAAAATCGACGTTAATTAAATAGATGATAGACACTATAACAAACCTAGTATCGTAAATTTAGAAAAATTAGTAAGCATTAATAAATTACCATAATTATATTGCGCGGCATTACAAACACTGGTAGATTTTTGACTAAAAATTATATAAATATTTTAAATATGCTTAAAACACAAACATAAAATAATTTATATTTTAGTGATTTTTAAAATTCATTATGCTAGGTACATTTTAGAAACAATTAGTTAGAGATAAAATAAATGTTAAATTAAAACCAATAATTAAATCATTTTTATTATAAATAAACAAAAAAACATTTTAAAATAAAATAATTTCAAACAATAAGTTTGACTCAAAAACAAAAAAAACGGGAAAACGTGAGACACAGCCCGAGAAACCATGGATCACACTCAGCACCAGTTCTTCGAGGACACACCGCTACCCGAGCGGGTCCATCAGGCGATGACAATCCCGGCTCAGTTTGATCCGCATCAGCGCCCGTACACTTTCGCTGTGGCTGTACCCGATGCGACCCCTATAAACCCGTTCCAGTATGACCTGAACTACCAGTTCGGTGGCCCGGGATTTTATGGTCACCATGGGGTCAACTTCTTGCACAACGGCTACGATTTGGTGGCGCCGATCACTCGCGGCGATGTTAACTACGACAACCAGGTGTGGCGCGTGCGGGACAGCAACAAACAGGAGTACGCGTGTAAAGTGCAAAATCTGCTGTACTATCGGCGCCCAACCCAAGGCGAGCCCGACATCAACGCCACACTCGCAGCCCTCTTAAAGGAGGTGCAAATACTGCTATACCTGCAACACGAGCACATTGTGCGGGCCATCCGGGTGTTTGGTTTGCCCGATCCGCACAACAAGTTTGAGTACGCCTTTCACTGTATGGTTACGGATCTGATGCAGGGCTCGTTGGAAAGTCTGACCCGTAACTACCCGAACGGTGCGCCCGAATGGGTCGCTATGAATGTGTTCGCGCAAATCGGTTCGGCGGTTCAATACCTGCATAACGATGTGGGCGACAGTTATATCGCACATCTGGCCATTCGGCCGGAAAACATACTGTGGAAAGCGGACAACACTCTCCCGGGAAACTATCTCTACAAACTGACCGACTTAGAGGAGGCGATCACTTTTCCCACAGCTGACCCCGATGGGTTCATACCGCGCAACCACGTGCGGCGCTGGAACTATTGCTCGGCGCCCGAGTTCGGCGCCACCGATCAGTTCCGCAACGCCGACGTGCGGGCCCTCCCCTGCGACGTATACTCGCTGGGCATTACCATGAGGTATATACTGATGCCCATCACTAGACGCGATCAAGCGTTTTACGCCTACCAACGCTATCTGCGTCAGTTGTTTCCCATGGTTTCCGTCCCGATTCAGGTCGTCCGCCCGACAGCGGCCGCCGTCGACGACGCCCACAACGTGCCCCAAGAGATGGCACAGTTCCAGGCGGTGTCGGCCGAAGTACACCAAACTATTTACTGGACAACACACGACCCGAACCTACGGCCGACAATTCGAACGCTGATGGACGCAATGGACGCCGCGAAGGCCGATATGGCCGCCGCCGCCGCTTTGGCCGCAGGTTAGGCGGCGTAAGCGCCGGTGTATACCAAAAAAAGTCATTAAGTATTTAAAGATTAGTAGTATTTGCTATAAAAGTATTATTTAACTAATAGTGACATTTTAATGATTAACTTATGTGTAAATTATGATTATAACGGGTTTTTTCGTTTACTGTTTAACACAGGTTTGAGATTTTAATTTATAAATTTTATAACTAAATTATTTTAGTTTAGTGTTTTAAACTGGATACAACGTTAAACTTTATACTTTAGATATGCTAAGACTATAATGAAAGCATATCGATAATATGGAAACGCTAATTTGATAAAGTTATAGTCAATTAAATCATTGATAAACATTAAAATAACCTAATATAATAAATTTAGGGGGAAAATTAGCAAGCATTAATAAATTACCATAATCATGTTTCGCGGCATTACAAACACCACAGGAAGAGCATTAACTTAACAAACACTACACACATTTGCGTCACAAATGGTAAAAATAGCATGAAAATTAGGGTTTATAGAATCATTTCACTTTATTTAAATTATCTAGATCCATTTAATCTAATTTGAATCTAGATTGAAACAATCAGTTAGGGGTAAAATGCTAAACTAAAACCAACAATTTAAATCAATTTTGTTTTATTAATAACCAAAAGCATTTTAAAATAAAATAATTTCAAACAATAAGTTTGACTCAAAAACCAAAAAACGGGAAAACGTGAGACACAGCCCGAGAAACCATGGATCACACTCAGCACCAGTTCTTCGAGGACACACCGCTGCCCGAGCGGGTCCATCAGGCGATGACAATCCCGGCTCAGTTTGATCCGAATCAGCGCCCGTACACTTTCGCTGTGGCTGTACCCGATGCGACCCCTATAAACCCGTTCCAGTATGACCTGAACTACCAGTTCGGTGGCCCGGGATTTCAATTTCACCATCGGATCCACTTTTTGCACAACGGCTACGATTTGGGGACAGCCATCACTCGCGGCGATGTCGACTATGACAACCAGGTGTGGCGCGTGCGGGACGCCACTGGCCAGCAGTACGCGTGTAAAGTGCAGAATCTGCTGTACTATCGGCGCCCAAACCAAGACCAGCCCGACCTCAACGCCACACTCGCAGCCCTCTTAAAGGAGGTGCAAATACTGCTATACCTGCGACACGAGCACATTGTGCGGGCCATCCGGGTGTTTGGTTTGCCCGATCCGCACAACAAGTTTAAGTACGCCTTTCACTGTATGATCACGGATCTGATGCAGGGCTCGTTGGAAAGTCTGGCGCAGGACTTCCCGACCGGTGCGCCCCAATTGCTCGCTATGCACATGTTCGCCCAAATCGGGTCGGCGGTGCTCTACCTGCACAGCGGTTTGGCGGGCAGTTATATCGCACATCTGGCCATTCGGCCGGAGAACATACTGTGGAGAGCGGACACGGATCAAGCGGGCGGTCGTCTCTTCAAACTGACCGACTTCGAGGAGGCGTTGACTTTTCCCGCGGCTGACACCGACGGCCACATACCGCACGATCACGTGCGGCGCTTCAACTATTGCTCGGCGCCCGAGTTCGGTGTCAACGCTGAGTTCCGCGACGGGGGCGTGCGGGCCCTCCCCTGCGACGTATACTCGTTGGGCATTACTATGCGGTATATACTACTGCCGCTCACTGCTGGCAATCAAGGTTTCTTTGCCTACCAGCGCCATCTGCGCAACAGGTTTCCCCTGATTGCCGTCCCAACTCAGGTCGTCCGGCCCAACGCGGACCCCAATGACAACGAGATGGCGCCCGAGCTGTTCGCCCAAATCCAGTCGGTGGCGCCGCCCGTCCACCAAACCATATACATGACAACACACGACCCAAACCGACGGCCGACAATTCAGGTGTTGATGAACGCCATGAACACAGCGATGGCCGCTATGGCCGCCGCTCTCGGCGGTCAGTTCCCGTGAGCGCCGGTGTATTGCAAATCAAAGTCATTCAGTAGTTAAAGATTAGTAGTATTTGCTATAAAAATGTTAGTTAACTAATATTGTAGTTGTTTTTCATGATTAACTTATGTGTGAATTATGATTATAACGGGTTTTGTTCTGTTCACTGTTTAACACAGGTTTGAGATTTTAGTTTAAAAGTTTTATAAATTTATAAATTTTATAAGTAAACTATTTTAGTGTTTTATTTATTACAATAATCTCGAACATTTAAACTGATACAACAACGTTAAACTTTAAAGTTTAGTTTAATGTTTAGGAAAGCATATCGAGCTATATGAAGCACTAATTTGATAGGATCCACGCTAATTAAATCAATGATAAACACTAAAACTAACCTACTAGCATTAATAAATTACCATAATCATTTTTTCGCAACATTACATTACATTAGACCATAGGAATTGCATTAACCTAACAAACACTGCACTCCGGCACTAGCGGACAGATGGCAGCACTACTACACACATGCCATAGGATTAGTATTGCACTCAATGTTTACGGAAAACACCAGTCATTGAGTTATGCATTGCATTGAATACCAAATGAGTGTTTGTTTACGTGTTTTTTGTATTCATTTTTATTGTTATTGTTTTTCCGCTTTTAATAACACTTTGAATGCAATTAAATGTTTGCGTTTGAAATCACCGGCGAATCCATTGCCACAACACTATCGCCACCTGATTATCACCGCTTGGGATCAGTTCCGGGGTCTCAACACACACCTTAAGAAAGTGCTAACGTATTAGTGAATCACCCGAAGAGTTTGATGGCCACCAGCGATGAACCGCTGACCACCGATGGCCTGTTGATGGCCACCGGTATTATCGATGGTTTGGACGTTACCACTGCTGATGATAGCGAAGACATCGATGGCCACAACGATGATAATGAAGACACTGTCGTACGGGAAGTGATACGCGAGTTGTGCGATGAGGTGTCGCGACGTGAGCTGATTCACGACAAGGATAGTGATGGCGGTGACGGTGGTTGCGATGGTATGACCACCAGTGATAACATCGCCGGTGATAATCGCTGGCCACTGGCCGCCGATTACTATCACGCCAATTGGCGTGCAATGAGTTGGCGTTGGAAGCGCTGCGACAGAGCGGCGAAGACACCGCCAATCGCGGCGTTAGTTGTGATAATAACAACGAAGAAGCAATTGATCCGCCGGTGACCGAAAGCCTGGCGGAAGACGTGTCGGCCATTGGCGGCCAAAACCAAGAGCTCTCGCATGAGATAAAGTTTGTGCAAAATCTGATCGATCTGTTGGAGAACTACCGGTCGCTACTCAACCGGTGTCTCAACACTTGCGAACACTGTTCCCGAAACCAAGACGTGGCCAACGAGTTCCAGGATTTGGAGCACAACTACATCCGTGACCTCAACTTCGCCAAAGAGCTCATCTTCGACAACGCCGACTCGTTTCGCCACAAAATGAGCCGTTTGTTCACTTCTAAGACCGCCACCGGCGCCAAGAAGTCCGCTGTGGCCGCCGTTGAGCGTAAATACGAGTTAATCGACGCCTATTTGGGATCAGATGACGACGAAGAGGAGGACGACCTGTTGGGTCGCGACTCCGACTACGACCCGAATGTCGACGAAGAGGCGTTGGCCGCCGCGGAGGTCGACATCATCGACGCCGTGGCGATTGGCGCCCGTCGGGGGCCTAAAAGGGGACCGAAACGGAAGCGTAAAGCGCCGCCCAAGAAGAGGAGGGGTCGACCGCCGAAGTCGGCGAAGAGCACCGCCGGTGGCGGAGGCAGTGGTGGCAACAAATGTGATAACAAATACGCGGCAATTGGTTACGGCTTTCCCGATAATCTGATCGAAGAGATCGACGAAATAATTGACAATTTCGATGACACCGACGACGAGGGCGACGAGTCTGACGCCGAGGACACTGTCGGCGGCGGCGGTGCCGGCGATGACGAGGACCGGGCGTACAATCCCAAGAAGTCGTCGGCGAGTGTTAAGCATAAACCGGTGGCTAAACGCGGGCCCAAGAAATTGAAAAAAGGTATTTTGTTATCTAGTATTTTGGTGACCAATCAGTACACACAATACTAATACCATATTCATTGCCTACCCGTCCACTTACCCATAGGCCCGAAGCCTAAGCGCAACAAATACGACAAACTATACAAATGTGACTCGTGTGAGTACACGCACCGCAAACTACCGAACCTGGAGTCACACAAAAACAAAGTACACCTAAACATCAGGCCATTCAAGTGCGACAAATGCGGCAAATGCTTCACCGGTAAGCCATTCCTCGACAAACACCGGCGCTTCCACTCGGAAACCTACCACCACTGCGATTGGCCCGACTGTCACTTCAAGACCAAATACATGAACAATTTGAAAGAGCACCGCATGCGCCACGAGAAGGACAGGCAGTTCCGGTGCGCGTGGCCGGGCTGTGGAGCCTTGTTCTACAACAACCGCGACCTCACCCAACACATGAAGAGCCACGAAGAGCAGCGGGACTACCGGTGCGATTGGCCGGGATGTGAGGCCACGTTCAAGCGGCACACGTATCTGTCCCGCCATAAGCAGCTGCACCTGAACCCGGACACGGCGTTCCCCTGCGTGTGGCCCGGATGTGGTAAAAGTTTTAATACGCGTAAGAAGTTGGAGAACCATTCGGCCACACATGCGAAACAGTTGCAACAGTCGACCACTACTACCGGTGCTGCTGGTGGTGGCCCTCAGCCCGACCCGCAGCCATCACTTCCCGTTCAGACTGTCCTACCGGTACTTATCAGCCCTCCGTTGGCCACAACTACGGCATCTCAACGCATGCAACCGCCGCCGCCTCCCGCTTCGACCCCTACTAGTAGTCCGGTGTCGATGATTACGGTGTCCGCGGCGTCGATGCCGATGATGGCCACCGGTTCCCGCAAACTCATGCCCAACAGCGCCGCGCAGTTGTTCGCCGCCCGCGGAGTGGTTCACGCCATCGGTGGCTCCGTCGCTGGTGGTCATCATCAACAGGCGATGGCGCTAACGGCCACTCATACGGGCGCTCATCATCACCAACAGCAACAGCATCACCACCAGACACACCATCACTCGCCACACCATCAACAACAGCAGCAACAACAGCCCCACCACCAGCAACACCAACAGCACCATCAGCAGCAGCAACAACAACACCAGCATCAGTCACAACACCACCACCAGTCCCATCATCATCACAATCAACAGGTCCAACAACAACAACAACAACAGCAGCAGCTGCACCACTCACCCCATCAGCAGCAGCAACAACAGCAACACCATCATCAGCAGCACCACCAGCAGCAACAGCATCAACAGCCACAGGGTCTACGCCCGGGCCCTCCCACGCCCTCACACTCTCCGTTAGTGCAATACCCGACCGATTTGTCTGCGCAGAGAGCTATGGCCGGCACTGCGGGCACCGCATCGCCGGCCATAGCGGCTGCAGCAGCGGCCGCCCAAATGGCCGCACAGCCACTCAACCCGTGGCTAATCAACAATTTTATAAATCGGCAAAATATATGAGATTTAAATGCAATACAATTGACATTTTGTTGGCTACTGTACACTACTGTCCACTATTTAATGGACTCAATAGGTGTCAGCGCCCTATCGATACCGGTTATGCTAACTGTAACGTACTGTACAGTACGGTATACTCACGCTATATGTTTTGTGTATATATTTCTGTTAGAGTTTTTAGCGAATAGTGTCTGTACACTAATAGGGGTTTTATTATATAACAATAATTTTATGTAAATATTAGCAGAGATTCACTATAAATGAGTTATTATTGTATTTACTTTTTATGTATTATTATTATTATTACTATAATTTTAGAGTTTTTCTTATATAATGTATATTGAATTGGATTATCATTTTTTATGGATTATATATTTTTATTGATTTTAAAGTGATTTATAGATTTAGTGCAAAACAAAACGCAAATTATTTATTTGTTATTAGAATTTTATTATCACAATTATGTTTAGTTATATTGTTATGAGAAATAGTTTTAATTTACTTAATTATATAAATAAAAGTATAAATTGATTTATAAAAGCATTATTTATTTATTAAAATCGCGGGAAATGCGAAAATACTTTGCATTTATTGTATTAGTTGTGATAATTTTTAATTGAAAGTAAATAATTTAAACACGTTTTGAGACAACTCTATTTAGATGTTCAATTTAATATTTTAATCAATTATTAAATACATTGAAATATAAACGTTAACTAGCAGTAAATCATTAGAAAAAAAATTAATTTAGTATATAAAACAAAAAACAATTAATTGCATTAAAAAATTAACTTTAATTAAAATAGAAATAATGAGAAAATAAATAATTGAATATTAATACAAAAAAAACACGATTAATAGTTATAAAAAATTAAAACACATGCATAGGGAATGAAAAGGCCGGCCAACTGTTTGGTCAGTTTGGTCATTATATTCTCGGCCACAGACGCCTTATGCGGTGCAAATTGGTCATATAGTTATGGCCTGTGTTTGGGCTGTTATTGTGATCACCGGTGCTGATGACCAATTCAATCTCAGCCCAAACACAGGCCATAACTAATAGGCCGGTGAAAAATATAAGCCACAATTGGCACCAAAATCCTGGCCAATGTTCGGCCACTGGAGCCTCACGTACGGAACCATTGCCAGCGGGCGGGAAGTCCGGGCAAACCCACTCGAGTGAACGCTACAAAACAACCGGGGTAAACACACAGGTAAAGAGGATTATATGTGGCAACATTTCATACGAGTCGGATGGCAACCAACCGACATACCCTCACCAACTCGTATGTAGGGTGAGGTTATGTCGGTCGGTCGCAATCCGGACAGTCGAGTAGAAACCCGAGCCACGGGTCGGGGCAACTTTGACATACAAGCACAACAATTCACGTATGAATACATTTGAACACTGATTCTCATCTCAAAGTAAAAACTTTTCAACAACTTTTATATACATCTATAGTAAGAGTCAAGTTTTGCAAACTCGTTGTGTATCGATGTCTGGATAACAACTATTAGGGTATATGTGGTGTGAATACATCGGATGCAAGAATTGATGACCGTTTTGCTCACCTATTTGTTAAACAACAATGTCATCTCTTTATCCCTCCCTCCTTTCTCTCTCTCTCTCTCTCTCTCTCTCTCT